TTGGGTTAAAATTATCGCAAAATTCCCAAATATGCCCAAAATGGGGCTGAATTGCAGATTGCTGAAACACTGAGTTGTTTTGGCAAGGTGGAAAAGGTGCAGTTGGATACGCGGAAAAAAACATTTGCATTTGTTGAGTTTAGTGATGAATTTTCGGCGCAACGAGCCATTTTCGAGGATAAACTTCGCATTGGATATGTAAGTTCTGAGATACTGTTAATTTTTATGCATTTTTTTTTCTAACAGCACAAAATTTTACTGTTAGAGAGGTTTTGCCGCCGGCAGAACGATCCTTTGAAAAGAAAGAGAAAATTTTGCATGCATAATTCCCCGTCGGCTTGCGGGAAATCGTAAACCTGAAATCATTTTCCAGATTTCTATTTTTATGCGTTTTTGCAGCTATGCAATGCAAAAACGCATATTGACGAGAGGTTGTCTGTGTGTCTGTGTGTGCGTCTGTCACGCACTTTCATCTCAAAACCTATAAGAGCTGCATGGCTGAAATTTGGGAACTTAATCTACATGCGCGTGCGGCCGCAATCCCCAAAATTGGCGCCATCACTCGCGTGGTACCCGCGCATAGTCCCGCCAAAATTTTTTTGAGTAAGTTCATAACCCAGTGATCTGAGAAGCTAGAACGCTGAAATCTTAAGGGGGATGTTCTTCGTCCAAGTAGGTGATAACTCAGGAGCCAGGGAAGCTAACAGCTGAAATTTTAGGAGGATGTTTCCGGCCAGTTCTGGCGGCCAGTCTTAATATGTTCAGCTAGAAGCATTTGCCGAAAAACCGATGCCGGTAGCGATAAAAATGCGGGAAACTATGCAAAAAACGCATCTTCGCATGGACAGCCCGTGCGTTGGCCAGTTATTTAAATAATTGCTCTTGCTTTAATATTAGGAAATGAAAGTGAAAACTATAAAAACAAGCCGATCTCTTGGTTTGCCTTGGATATCTTTTGTCTTTTCTTTGTTTGCCGCTGCTTTGAAGTTTGCTCGCTAATCCACAGTACAAGCGATGAACTCCATTTTTTCATGATTTTATCGATGCTTCTTTCAGCAAACGGTTTTGGTGAGAGCGCGCAAAGTAGATTTCAATCAGGCCCAGTCAAAACCTCAAGAACAATCGATTGTTGTGAGCAAAATTATCCGTCGTATCAATCAGCCGTCATTTATTTCTCAAGTGGATGCTTTAATCAATCTCTATTGCCTCACTGATGCGCAGGTGATAAGAAGTTTACTTTTCTCCACTTTTTCTTATTTTGATAAGCTACAGCCGTTTTGCAATTGCACACCTTTACATAGGCAATATTTATAGTTTTTTTTATTTTTTTTTTTTGGCTAAATTGCAACATGATTTTCTGATTCTTACTTTTTTCGTCCGAAAGGAACCGCGAAATGTACTACATTCCCCCCACTTTCCTAGTTTAACAAGCTAAAACGGCAGCTGATCAAGGCCCCAGCTAAATTACGTCTTTCGTCATGTTTTCCTACCACTTCCTTATTGAAACACTAAAAATTTCAGGTTTCTGAGCGTAGCAGTTATGAGCAGCTGCTTACGAATGCCCTTGGCCAGTACTTCTCTTCCGGTGCTCATGTTCGCATTTTTGGCTCTTCGATAACGTCGATTGGTACAAAAGATTCAGATATTGTATGTTTTAGCTTCTGGGCACGTTCTTATTTATCACTAAAAACAGTTTTATTTACGTTTTTCGATTGCCTGAAATCAGTATAATTTGTAGTTATAAATCTTCATGAACCAGTAAAATTTGTTATAAATCTTCGTGAGCCACAAAATTTTTGAAACTATGTTACCGTAAAGTGGTACCATAAAATTAGTGCCAGTTTGATTAGTATAGGTTGAAAATGTAAATTCACTATATGCTAAAACATAGTAAAATCCACTTTATAGAACCACTGAGAATTACAGTGCTGTAAACACTGTAACTTCAAAATAACTGTAAAAAAAAACAGCAAAATATAACTAAAGCTATAATGTCACTGAATTGCTGCATGCTGAGTTATAAGATGATTCATTAAAAGTTGGGACCGAAAAAAGTTACCGAAAGGTGATTTTTAAAAAAAATGATAAGAAATATAAG